CCAGTAAAGCAGAAAAATCCAAACATTCATCTCCTCAGATGGAAAGGCTTCTAATTCAGAAGAGATTTTATTTTATTTTATATTTTATTTTATTTCTATATCTGATATAGGATTACACTTTAATCATATATGGTATGCCCACTGATGAAATGTTGTGACATTTAGAACACAGTTTATTTTTATTTAATATGCTCCAAAAGCATCTATCATTGCATGTCTAGGGTAAGGAAAACAGCTGTAATCATTTCAAGGTAGTTGAGGACCCATGCAATTGTAGGGAAAGTCATTTGACAAATTATGAAACTAAATGTTGTAGTGTTTCTTTCTGTGATGAAACAGGGATTTCCTTTTCTTTTTCTTTTTTTTTTTTTTTAATGTTTTGTCCTTTTATTGGCAAAAATAAAAGAGCAGCAAACAGACATTATAGACTAAGGCAAACTTTCACACTGAGGTATCAGATAACATTTAGTAATTTAAAGAGGTGTTTTGAAAGGAAAATACCTTTACTAACTGGAAATGTTGGACTACAGAAAAGGTTTCTAAGTTTAAACAGTGAAGGCTTTTCCTTGCCAATCTGGACACACTGCAGCTGTGGACTGCACGTATAACTATTGCATTTACTTCTGTCCTCTAGAGAAAACTATGACAAATTCTGCCCCGGTTGCACTTTGCAGATCAACGCTACAGTGAAGTCTAATTAGAAGTATACTATAGAAGTATACTATGTCGACTCCAGATATAATTTAAACATTGTTACACTGAGAGCTTAAAGACATTGAAACAGACAGCATGCCAGCTTAATGATAGAGTAATTTATTTTTTTGTCATTTAATAATACCCATAGCAGACTGCTAAAACAGACTATTCTTCTTATGAACCACTACAAGGGGAATTTCAAAACATTCCAGCGACATGCTGCCCTTTACTGACCTGAGCAGCTGCCTGAGGGTCAGGGTCCTGCTGACTGCTTTGGTCAGGAGAAGAAATCAGTGGGAAAGATGTCTGCTCTAGACATAATCCTCAGTGTGTGTTCTATCACCTCAAATTGTTTCTCTTAAGCACAGAAACACCTGAACTTGATTCAGAGAGAAAGAGAGGGTATGCAGCAGAACAGGACACCTTACAGAGTAAATTCCTGGTAAGCAGCCTTTCCACTTTCTTCATCTCTTTGTGCATATATACATATTTATGTGAGTAACTTCAGGCATTACATTTTCCTTTGTATGGGAAAAGAGCAGGCCAAAATATGACATCATGGGAAGGAGAGTTGGGTTCTCTATTTCACATTTGCAGGCTTAGTACCCTGCAGCCAGCTGGGCTGTTGGATGGGGAGAGAGCTGGTTTGCAGCCCTTGTTATCTCCTCTGGGTGACCGTGTTCCCTTTGAGAACAGTGACACGGGTACAAAGTACTGACTGGGCTGGCAAGAGGATAATGCAGGGCCTGTGTCTCCCTGCATTGTCTCTGGATAAATTCTTTGTGAGCAGCCTAACCCCGGCTGAGCTAAGGTGAAGTGCTCAGGTCATACCACTACCGCAGCCTGGTGCTTCCGTGGCACCTCGCCACGGAGACAAGCAGAATTTCTGCATGGTTACAATTGTGGTCAAAAACCTGCTCATTGCCTTTGGGCCAGCTGCTTTTGATGTTGTCTATAGGAGCACCAGGAAGACACAAATAGCATCGGTAAACAGAACATCAATTTCTTTTTCAAGAAGCAGAGGGAAGTTCTGAAGTTAAAAAAATGTAATTGGTGATCTTATTCAGAGATATTCAAGAGCTGAATAGATTACTACTGTAAATGTTAAAAGAGACTAAACTATTACATGCTTCTTTCCTCCATCAATGAAGACGACATGACTGTGAACACTCTAAAATTTTCCAAAATAGGAAAAACTTTAAGGAAATGTGCAGATATCTGTAATATTTGGAGAACTGTCTTTTCTGCCAATAAAAATTTTTAAACCAGCCAAAATTCAGGCAGTCAAATCCTGAAGCATGTTGTCTAGTAGGTGAACAAACAGCATGTCCAGAGAGCCTCAAAGATGGCTCCACAATTACTTCCTCCAGTCAGAAATAGGGTTTCTGTGTTGGCAGTGTTGCTGTGCTGCCCATCTAACTTTTTGGATTTGTGCCAGTTCCAAATTTTTGTGCTTCACATTAACTTCTCTTTTCCCCTTTAGTTATATTCTCTCAGCATACTTCTGTGGCTTAATTTAACACATATGCTGAATAATTAATTCTTTTAACTGAGCTAACCAACTCTTTGTTCCCCCAGATAACTGAGTGTTGAGTGCATCAAGAAAATGATAATTCAGAAATGAAAGTTCCCTGATTTCTCCATAATCTCCGAATGTTAAGCAACTTGTCAGAATGATGCTCAGTAAATAGCTGCTAACTTATGTACTTGGCTGATGTGGATTGCTTCCAGGCCTATCAAGCCCCCAGTAGAAGGCATAATAAATAATGATAACAAATTATAATAAATACATGACATAAATAATGATAATAAATGCATGACTCTGGCTGAACTAGAACAAACAGGGAACTTGGGTCAACAACGTAGATGTATTTTATTTGTGAAATTTGTGATTCTAGAAGATGAAATCACATGATAGGAATATGGGATCTCACCCAAACCACCTGACACATCAGCTCCATTTTCCCCTCCCACACTGTGTATCATTGTTCTTGTGATTACAGACCTTCTCACAAGTAAGATTAGGAACACGTTTTCTCCTGTGATGTAGATTCAGAGCTTTTCAAGTCAAGATCTTGCATCAAAAGGTACAGTGAACACCAGAGCAGACTGCCTAGGCATATAGGTAGGTCCTTTATTGCCTGACTGATGGGATTGAAGATCTCCGAATTTGCTGTGCTAGCCACTAAAAATCAACGTCTTTATTGCATAGCAATAAAGCACAGAACAAGATAATCAGCTGTGTTTCAGAGTACAATCATCACCCCCAGAGATGATTTGATTTGGTCCAACATGATTCACAGAGCAGAAAATCTTAAGTGAAAAAAACCAGGGTGCTTCCGAAGAAAAATTTGCATTGGAAAGACAGACTGATAGATGCATGCATGCACATGAGCACCTCGAATGGGGCTGAATTACAGTAACTGTGAGCTACTGCTGCATAACAGATATTGACTAGGGAGCTTCCCATACAGTTGATGCCTTACTTTTCTTGCAGGATTATTGATCTGTGTTACTTTCTCAGTGAAAGAAGCGAAAATCTTCTCTTCAATCCAAGCACTAAAAAAACTAATGTAGTTTCTTGGCACTGAATCATAAAAGCACGCAAATTGACAGAAAAGCAGATGAATCCCTAACTCAAGCAGATGAATCCCACTACTTCTAGCTACCCCAGAAAATATTTCTCCTTCCTTTAATATAGTTAACTGGGCTGCTTTCAGTCTTTTATTGGACTTACTTTACCTGGCTCCAATTACAAAACTCATCTTTTTCTTCCTCCCCAAAGATAAAAGCTACAGTTTCCTGGTAACTCAATTATAAACAGCTTTGAGTCAGAAGAATGAACTCTAACAGAGAATATATAAGTACATCTGAAGCTTTTAATGGACAAAATGTGAATACAGTGAATATGATTAATTAGAGAAGTCTAGAGGGAATTTCAGTGTGCCTTTGGCATTAAAGTATCCAGTTAAGCTGCAAATTCTGTGTGAAGAATTTTTCCCTTTTGACAAAAGCACACAGGTGTGGCACAGCAATTAGTTCCAATACCAAGCTGAGTGGACAAAGGGTGCCTGAACAGGGATATATACACAATTAGTTCATTTTTGCCCTCACTTCTTTTGCACTGCTATAACTCTGTTATGTTCCACACAATTTAGGACTTTTTTCGTTGTTGTTGTTCATTAATATTCTAAAATCATCCAACCTTTAGAAAAGGTCACAAATTTCTGCGAGCTACCTCTGTTGAGTTCATTGTTCAAATAAAATACATCAATCATATAAGCACGATTCAGCATTCACATTATGTGAGAACTGGCATATTCTTATTAAAATCTGTTACTTGCAGCTGACCAAATGTTCTGAAGATAGAAGTATTTATATTTGTATTTAATTTCTAACATGAGACTAATCCCATCATAACATGAAATGCACTGTAGGAATAGTGACTGTTATGTGTTATAATTTTTTTTCATTTTGGACAGGCATGGGCAAACTATAATATACATAACTTCATATTTATGTTTAATAATATTTTTTCATTTTAGAAGAATCTGATTCTTTTTTTTGTAATAAACAAAATGGCAACTTGGTCTGTCACATCTCAGGAATACCTATCTGTTTACATCTTCTCCCAGCTAGAAATCCTCATCCTGTGATTAACATCCATGACACAAAATTGGCTGCTCAACACAATTTTATGATATGTTTTGTAAACAATTCCCTATCCTTTGGCTATAAATAAGTGTCAAAAATGTCGGTCTGCCACCTAAGCAGCTTGAAAGCCAAACTTTTTCTGCTTGTCAAGGCTGGGATCTGCAGGGAAAGCCAGAGAATTCAGTCCATTCTAAACTGTTTATTTTTGAGGGGTTTAGAAAAAAATGCTCAATGCAAGCTGCTGCTCAAAGCTGACTCAGCTTTGCCATGTAAGAGTGTATGTACATCTCATCCCTGTGCCTGCAAAAATTCCATATATTAAAGGGCACATCTATAAACTTCAGGTATATTAACTAATATATAAGTATTTTATATATTAGTTAATATAGCTTATATATCTATATATAAATATATAATTAAATGATATTAAATATAGATATATATTTAATATATTTAATATAGCTTTTATATATACTTATACTAGTCTAAGTATTTTGCTTACACTAGTAATATATTTTAAAAGCAAAATAATTTAAAAGTGAAATAAAAAATACTCCAAAAACATTCTGATTCTCAGAATGGAATTTCAATACCACGAATATGATGAACATGAGTTAAAAAGATGAGTCTCACAGTCCATCAGCACTCACCATTCAGCCACTTGGAGTTGTACTGGGCAGTTCGGAGTGGAGGAAGGGCCCCCAGACTTCGATAAATAGCAGGATCCCTTCCTGGAAAATCCATGGCTGTAGCAGCATATAATTCTCCACTGGAAGTGAGAAGAGCAGTGGAATTGTGCTGGGGACTGTAGGGACAACGAGCCATGCCACTGATTTGGTCATGAATCTCTGTCAAGTTGCTTAACTGTAAACGAATTAGAAAAAGGGATTAAAATTACTCAAAAAATATCATTTCAGCTGAGCTGCATCAATCTGAGCAAAATCCTCTGACAAACACCTGTTATTTGTTTTAGTATTGTACAGTAGTGATGAGCCAACCTCTACATCAATCTGAAATTGTCTCACATAGAAAGTCTTACTGTAATGTTGCCAGATCTCACTTTTGTCCTTTTGATACTTAAAGCACACGTCAGTCATTATCCACCAGGCCTAAATATTTTCTATTAGAAGGGGCTTAAAAATTAATTATCTCTGCAAAGATTGTTATTAAGAAAAATAAAACTAAACCTGATTGCCAGAATCAATAAGGCATCCACCACAGCAGATAACAACAACAACAAAAAAATCTATTATTTGTTTTGTCGGTGTCCTTTAGGAAAAAAAATCTCACATGAAAAATGAGAGTACGAAAAAGAGCTTTCAAACTCAGCAGAAGCATCTTTGATTTAGGAGTCCAAATACTTTCAGCCATAAACCACAGCATGATGTTAATATGCTATTTGAAAATAAAGGTACAATGAGTTTAGATATAATAAATCTGCCAATGAGCTTTTTAGTAATACAGCTATTTTTTGTATTTAAGTATTTCTTGCCTCCTGAAACAAATAGGCAGCCTAGTCCAAACAGCGACATTTTAATACTTATTATGACTATTACTGATGCTTCAATTAGGCTTTTTTGAGCATACTTTTTTGAGAATGACAGATCTTCTCAGTCAAGATTTCTCATTCTCACCAGTCAGAAATCACTAATACAGGTACTGTCATTTCTCCAGAACTACACATACACAGTATGCAGCTACACAACCACATTTCATAACTAAATCTATTGATGCCAATCAAACCTGACAGTGGCAGAAGTCTTATAAACATCCAAGGTTCATAAAAATTGGCATGTAGGAGGAACTAAGCTGCTCATAGCTGTGTCTCCCACAGCTGAGGAAAGTACTTCAAAAAGAGATAGGTTAGCTCTCCTCTTCGGCCTTCCACCAGCTAAATCAGCCTTTTACACATCAGCTCACCCATCAATACCCAAATAGGCAGTTCTCAGCCACAACATGCTCTGCCTTTTAATCTGCTGGCTCAAAACAGGGACTTTAGCTTGTGGGGGAAAACATTTTATCTCTTACCGTGCGATTGGTGCAGATTGGAGTGAACGCGTTGGTTCCACAGGTAAAGAGATGGTTGCCTCCAACAAGAAGTACTCGAATATAGTTCTGGCACTCCTCCTGCCACAAGGAAAGGAAAGAAAAGAATGTATTCAGTGATACTGCAAAGTACAGAAGAGACTAATAATGCTTTGCTTTCCATGGTTAATTCTCCACACAGAAAAATTTTAGGTAAACAACGCTCACACGTACCTGAGTTAGCAGTCACAATATGCATTTCTTATTCGCACACATGCATCCATCAAACTTTCTGGAAAGTTCTTAATAGGATAACAATAAGCCTCTCTAGTACTGAAGATTTCCTCTCAGGATATATTTCAAAGGCTTAGCTAAATTTTGAACTGATAGTTCAGATAGATGATCTGATAGAGGCTGACTCAAATAGTATAGTTCTGTCTCAGGAGATCCAATGTTGACTTCAAAGACAGATTAGGCCAAGGAAGGAAGTTGTGAGGAAAACAGGGGAAAGAGCAGGTTGTCAGTAACAAAAATAGAGTGAGACTAGTGAAAATAAAATTCTTTAGATGTTCAGATGAGGATTTGTTACCACTAATTTCATAGTTCACCCTGTTTTATTAGAAACATCTCCTTTCCTGTTAATTCAAAGTTTCTAAAAAAAATTCATTACCACAATACGAAGATGCTCACCCTGAGGAATAATTTGATGTGTTTTTTACCCCGTTAGGATGGGTGAAGGCTTTCTAATATTCATATCTATCATTTTGGGAGCTAGAAATCAGCAACAATTTCTACCATTAATTCAAACAGAAACTTTTGTCCTGCAATACTAAAAATCTCCCAGAACTGTATGAGGAAAAATTCAAACACTTTTCTTGAAAAAAATCAATGTCCATATCCAATAAAATGATCAACAATATGTTTGGAGAAAATAAAGTTTCCTGGAAACTTACATTTGAATGCTCGCTAGCATTCACCACAAAACAGTCCCATAAAAAGTCTGAAAAAAACTTGTAAAAATACAGTTGTGCAATTCTAGCCGATGTTAAGTGAAGTCATGTAAGTAAATCCATACTACAGCAATAGCACAGAAGTCCCATTAGATGGCCTACAGTTATATTAAATGGATTGCTTGTTTATCTTGAAAATAGACTCTCATCCTGGAAGACAATAAATATAATCCTGAATAAATTGAACAGGCACAAAATAGACTGCAAAAGAAGATTGGGAAAATACTTTAAAGGTCTCTGAGAAAACTTTAAGAATTTATCTTCTATACCTTTCCTCATAAAAGTCAAGTTAAAAATAAACTCAAAAAAATCCTGTAAAATCTCAGGAAAGAAACTACCTCTTGGAAAAAAGTCTTCTCAAACCCACATTTGCATTAGTTTCTTGTGAAAAAGTAGCTTTTAAATGCTTCTTTTTGAGCATCTAAAGACAAGGGACAAACATCTTAGAAGTAAGATTTGATTGGGTAAAAAATATGAAGTTTTTATATTGAACTTTATAAAACTGTCATCTTAATATTCTTTAAACCACAAAGAAGCTAATATACAACCATATAACCAAGTTGGGCAATGCAACAATCCATTAAAAAAGTAATTAATTCACAACTTGGCAGTGTTGGTTGTTTTGGCAACTTCTTTGTATCAGAGTGCTTTACCTCCATCACCAAAAAAAACCCCAAAACTAGAAGGCAACTTTTTGGGAGATTGTTTTTTGGTTTTTTGTTGGAAGGGTGCTCAAGGAGGTTCACAGAAGTAAGACAGTAATTTATTCTTTGGTCTGTTTCCATTCCGCCCTTTGCAACAAGGCATGGAATGTACGTGTAGGAAAAATAAGTGGGTTCTGACATTACAACCCATCCAACCTCTCCTCCTCATATTCCAGAGCTCCCTGAAATAGTGTCATTTCCAAATTACTTGCACGCTGATCACCCACTCATTTTGTTCAAAAATAATGCTAATTTCTTAAACTCTGACATTCTTGGGAATCACAAGATTCTTTCTTTCATGTTCCTAAGTCCTGTGACAACTTGACAACAATCCATACTGCAACAGGGCAAATAAGACATCTCTAATACAAATTTTGTTGGGAACACAGTGCAAAAACTGGGAAATGAAAGAATAATTTTTTTTAATTGGCTACTTTTTAAATTTGAAAAAATATCTACATTAATGCAAAAGAATATTTTTTTAACATTGGTTGTGATTAAAACTATCACCACGCAAAAACATACTGAAAAAGGACTTCACTATATAGTCACTTTAATTGTTCAGAGATACTTTTCTAGCTTTGAAGTCAAGTTTGGCTGTACTGGTTCACTTCTGACACATGCAAAAATGAGATGTATGTTGTTGAAGTGAAAAATAACTTCAAACCAAAGGATTTTTTAGGCTGGGGGTAGTATTAGGTTTGGTAGCTATCTTTTATGTAGTCTTATTCTCAATTCATCTCAAACTCTATGTCATATACTTTCCTATTTGTCTACAAAAATAAATCTGAAATAAAGAAATACATTTATGAAGTACTTTCTACGTTTGTATCAGCATATCTGAAACAAAATGTGACTATTAGAAACAATTCAGCAGCCAAGCAGGCTAGGTTGTTACTTAAGACTACCTCGAAAGACCAAGTGAATCTGAGTGCAAAGTAATTATCCTCTTGCAGCAGCATTTCTTGTGTACGTTAACATTTTAAACATACCTGCGTTTAATTTTTAAATACTTTTATTGAAGGTTCAGATACTAGCATACCCAGCCACTAGAAACTTAATTAAGCTAGAGATAGGACTTAATTTCAATTAGCATTATTATTTTTAACATCTCTTTGGTTTATTGCATTCTCAACAAGTGCATTTATATTTTTTTCTTTCTAACATTCCCTACCACAAGTGTCAGTATGAATAGGCAAATTTATTCTCTTAATCGTGTCTGGTATTTTAGACTCCTTCATGCTAATGCATGCTGGCCACAAGGACATAATTTTGCATGGCTCACTCTTGGAGCCACGAGCTATTTTAGGCAAAAGCTTAAATTGGTAGACAAATGTCTGAAGTCTGAGTAACAAACATCGGCCTTCAAAAGTCAAGCATGCATTACACTGTCAAATGTGACAGATGTCCCTATATATTTTCCCCTTCAGCTCTTTTCCCTCCTTGGCTTCTAAAGCATAAACCTCAGAACAACTGATAATAGCCCCAGGCAAAAATTCCGTGCAGCTTCTTTCTCAAGAACAAAAAATCAGTTGTGTTTCACTGACCATTATCTCAAAACTACTTGAGTTGCTTCAGGGTTCAAAGCCACCTTCTGGGTTCAGGGCATGCACTCCATCAGCTAAACTGACTCTCAAGCAGTGAGTTCAGGTTTTGCCACCCGAACTTATTGCCCTCATGCTGCTCTGTGGCCAGCAGAGCTTCTAGAGAAACCAGGATCTGAATGAACAACCTACCCACAGCCATCCCTGCAATCCTCATCTCTGCTTTGCCACAGTCTGGGCTGGCCTTGACATATTTTGACTTTAGTCTTTCCTGTGTCTTCCTACAGTTACATGTGCCTGCCCTGAAATCTGAATTCACCTGAGAAGTATTACGTAAATTCAACCCCCAGCAACTCTGCAATTTGGGCTGCATCTGTTTATACGAGAGGGAAGCAAGCAAGTTTTTCTGACAACAGTGACTGGAATTGTGTTTGCAAAGAGGTTTCCTCTAGAGGGACAATGTAGCACTGGAATGAATCCCTCCTGATCCAATAATTCACAGTTTTTCCAAGGGAAGGCTCTGTATACATCTCCTTCTACAGAGAGTATAGTGACCTTGCTTTAGTCTTGGAAATAAGGCAATAAAAGACAAACATCATTTGTTTGCTGTCCTGTCTCTGGTCATAAATTTATCTTTGATTTTAACCTTCACCATATCAGTGAAAGCAAAAGAGGCATGAAAAGTTCAAAAAGACAATTGTCATTCCAGCTGGGTAGGCTTTCTCAGACAGTGTCTCTTCATTCTCCAGCTACTCCCATATGAAGCTTTCAGGCCATAAAGTTTGCACACCCAAAAGAAACCAAAACAAAACAACAAAACAACAACAACAAAAAAAACAAACAACAAAAAACCAACCAACCAACCAAAACCCAAAAACAAACAAACAAAACACAAAAACCACAAACAAACAAAACCACACACACACACAACAACAACAACAACAACAACAAAACCCAACCAAATGGTAACAATAAGAGAAGTATTTACTCCCAGGACTTCTTTTGACTGTAATGAAGCATAAAGACTATACTTCTCTTCTAGATTGTGAATGAGGAACATGGCTATGGGTACAAATGAAATCTTTAGACAAATAATAACAATACTAAGAGAGAATCCCAGAGGTCATTATTTGAATTGGATATACACCATTTTACAGCTACACCTTAACTTCCAATCATCATCTTCTTCAAAAGAGTGTGATGAGCATCAATGAAACTCTGCATGAATATAGAACTACACTAAGGCCCATTCTTAAACGTGTATCACCAGTGTTGTGCATTTCTCCCAACAAAATTGTTTAGTAGCAACAGATGCTTTACACCGTTGAATCAAATGTGGTAATTGTCATCAACATATTATTCCAAAGTACACTGCTATAGCCTTAAATTTACAATTACTTCCATCCATCATGTTAGATCACAGTCACTGCACTATGACTCTCAGACAAGTTGAATGTTATTCTCATGGCCTTCAACTTGGAAAATCACTGTGAAACAAAGCCATACATGGTTGTTTACATTCCTACCACAATAGTTTCTACTGAATCAATCCCTTCATCGATGATTTGTGGCATACTCTATTGACACTTCAGCATATTCCCTTAATTCCAAATATTGTCATCTGAAAGCTAAGGATAAAGGCTTGAGTGATATATTACATATTGAAGCATAAATTTTCTAGGGAAAAATAACAACTTAGAAAATTAAACATTTGCTTAAAATATGAGGTTCCAAAAGTCCTTTTTTTCTATTCCTCATAGTGTAACATGGCTCTTCTTCAGAAGTGAGGCCATTCTTCCTCTTTAATCTCAAATGTACAATCATACACTGCAATTTTATTTTTCAGCACTTAGTAAAAAAGGAGCTGGAAATTAACTGTTTATTGGGAGAAATATAAAAGTCATTGATTAGATAACTATGTAGAAGAGATCCCCTCTCTACTAGATGATAGAGATTTTGGAATATGTTTTTGAAGCTTGGGATTTTTTGAGTTTTCCACAACAATAATGTATGCAACACATTCTGCTGGATAAAAGCATGCTCTTTTGCACTTATCACTCTTGATGCGTTCTCCCTTTATGTTATAGCTTAATTAAGTTTAATCATGAAACAGTATAAAAATTAAAAACATAGATTGTATGCAATTCTGATTGCTTTTATAATTAATTTGATAACTAGCTTCAGGTTGGGACAGCTGAAGGTTCCATCTTAGCATTACATATACCTTACTGAATAATAGAAATCTCAGTTGGCCAGATAAAGAATTGGTTTTAAAGACAAAATTACATCAAGTTCAATGTCTAAGAAGTTAGTGAATTTAATATTATTTTCTTCATAGCACCAGTAGATAGGAAATAAAAAAGTTAATAAAATTTCATCTAAAACATAGGGATATAAACTGAGAATTTTACAAAGTAATTACACAGTTATTCAGGATTTACAGCACAGAAAATGAAGTGAGAATAAGTTCACTACATATGACATGCCATGTTTAACCTTGGTGTCAAAACAATAAACTGTTGGAAGCTAAAGTTCGTGGCCATTTCAGACAGGAATCAGATGAATGTATCTCTCACCCCATGCTCCCTATATTATTCTTTATTTTTTTGCTTACACATCAGTGTCAGACTCCTCTCCTACATATCTCTTCAGAAAGGGAGACAGTAAAAATGCATAAGGTACGGATTTATATACTGAATTACATCTGCTATTAACATAAAATTTTTATTAAAGCAGAACAGCTGTCTCATGCTTACCTTTGATTTGCCTTTACTGTAACAGGCTCGTTTAGTAGCTTCATCACATTGCCACTCCACTGCCTGCAACCAAAAGGAATTTGTTAGAAATGCAGGTAACACAAAAATCTTAGATAGCCTCTGAACTATCTAAGCCCATTTTTGCTTTATATGTTTCAGATTTAGCTGTCGAGCATTCTATCCATAAATAGCTCTTAAGAGTTTTCTCCTTAGAAAGGTAGCTTTACTGTTGAAAGTTTTTCATTATTTTAATCCAAAAGGAAGCCAGCCAACATCAGGATTCACAGTACCAATCACTACAGCAGAAACAACCACAGCTATATTTGATATGCTTAGTCTTCTTTTTTTTTTTTTTTTTTTTTTGAGTTTTATGAGGGTAAGCAGATAGAGGAGCACACAGAAAGGCTGAACCTCTTTCTCCAGCAGAGTTGGGCTGCATCACCACAGCATTTGAGTTCAGGTCTTCTGAAAAACCTTGCTCAATGGGAAAGTGTGCCCTGTTGCACTTTTTGAAGTATTTATCTCAAACATCAAATGGAGATTTTAGTCTCTAAAGGTATGACTGCAGCACTAATCAGAAGCACTAAAACTTCCATTCAGAGAAAGAAGCAGTGACAGAGACATACAAGACAACAGTGAAACAGTGCACTGCAAAGCAGAAGCAATTTATCCTCATTTTTCGAGCGTCTCACTGCTTCAACAGATTTATGCCAGGACTGTAATTCCTAGTCTGCATTACTACAGTTTCACTGCATGAGTTAATTCCAGTTATTTCCATATTTAACATTCAGCAGCTATGACTTACAAACTTTGCTGTTCAGTGGAGCAGTTGCATGCTTGGTGTTAATGTGCCAATGCATGTACATATTTGAATGCCTCTATATGCTGCATAGTCAAAGAGCATTTTAAATCAGGCTGCATTCTTTCACCTCAACAGTGCACATCCATATGTTCTTTAGATAAAAATGCCACAAAGCACTTCACATTTTATCAAGAAGAACCGAGATTTCTGAAGTAACCACTGCTGCCTATTTACTGAAACCATAACCTTTCATTTTTATTTACAAGGAAATAATGAAAGACCATTTATCCAGATTTAATATAGGAAATATTTTGTACCTGTCTTTTAATGGAGACTGTAATAATAGCAAGCAGACTCTCTAATTAATAATAGGGTGAAAGCCTAGTTAAATTAAAGGGAGAAATGCCTTTCAGAGCATTTGCGTTTCAACAGGCCCAAGAATGAACATTTTTCACTTCAAGAAAAAAACCCTGACTTATGAAAATTAATGTAATTACTTCTCTTCCTCCATCCTAAACCTTCCTTTTTACACTTTTGCAACGCTAAATGACTTTGGTGTATAGGGGAATATATTGAAAACTTCTGTAAGAATCCACTTGTGAATGACCCTAGAATTTATAACATGTATTTAGTAGCATGAAAGAAATCTCATACTGAGTTAGATAAAAAAGCAGCAATGATCTAAGTCTTTTGACTCAGTATTGCAAAAAGCAATTCATATCCACAACGGAGATCATAGGACAACCAACTGAATTCCTAATTAATCCATTAGGACACACTGAACCTCCATGTTATATGGCACTAGATACAAGTGCTGAATATGTTATCTCTGAACGACACAAAAAATTTCAAATGCCTGGAGAAATGCAAGAGTTAGTTACCAGGAGGAGGTCAGAGTAGAAAGAGAGTGAAATACGGGTACTTAAAAGGAAGGTTTGAAGCAAAGTTCTTGCCAAAGCTGAACTGAGAAAAACATGTCAAACACGAAGAGAAGGGAAAAGATTGCATTAAATACAAAATGTTTATCAATAAATTAAATTTCAGTGACAAAATACCCAGCTCTAATTTGCCCTAAGTCCACATTAAAATTAATTTGAAGGAGAAGGATGTGAAATATTAAAACATTATGCAATATTTCTGGACAACATAGTTAACAGCACATACAAGAACCCAAACAGAAGAAACTGCTACAGCTAGATATAAATATATTTGCTTGCAAGTTAACTAAATGGCCAACTCTCTGGGAAAGCCCTATTCATAACAACATCTGCTAAAAATGTGTAATACTAAGTGGACAAGAAATAAATGCAGACATACTGGTAATAAAGCTAAGTCCCACCTTTGAAACCAAGTGTACTCATAGTCCTATAGCCCTTGCTTCCACTGCTAGAGGAGATAATAATAGAGGAGGCTGCCAATGAAATATAGCACAAAGGCATCTGAAGAGAGCTGAGTAGTTCAATGTGTTTTACTTTGGTTCCTAAGGCTCCCACACAGTTCAGTAATGCAGGCAAACATTTCTATACAAAGCTTATTTTCTTTTTACCTTCTAATCTTCAGGAAATTCAGGGTAGTTTCCCTCAAAATAGAAATTCAGATATTCAACACAGTCTACTGCTTCTATACAGGAGGAAGACAGGTAGAAAACTCTTTAAGATAAATGTAATTTCAATGTGGGAAAAAATACAAGAAAAATGTGTCCTGAATCTTCAGCACACAAAGACAAAACAAAATGTCCCAACAGAATAATAATAATGTGGGTTTTGCCATTAGAAGACTTGAAAATTGTCATTCTGAAAGACCAGGTGGACATATATGGATTGCATTATTCTAGTAAGCCTGTGCAAATCCATGTTTTCAGATATTACTGTTATTCACTGCTTCCTTTAAATTGACATATTCTCCTGCTTAATACTGATTGATGACATTTCCATGAAGTTCAGAGGAGGAGTGCAGATATGACATGCAAACCATGTTGGATATTTGATTCACTATGAAGATCTATACAGCTAAAGTTTATCCTGTTAGGACATATTTTTTTCTAAACAAGAACCTTCAGTTTTCACATTCAAAATACAACCTGCAGCATTCAGTGTACTGGTTTTAATTAATATTATAATTCTACATAAGCTGGTGTCAGTTTATCGACCCAAATTACAGACACTCAAGTTTGTTCTCTCTGGGGAAAGAGTAAACAGGGATTTGAAAGTCAGTGTCAGAGAAAATAAGGACTGGTCAGACACAGCTACTACTACACATCTCTACAAAGAACACAACTGCACAGGTTAAGGAGGAGGGTTTAAGGTGGCACACCAGTCTGTTTCTTGCTAGCTGACAATATTTACCATGACATGGCTTTTATAAATCCTGTGATTGATAAGGTCTTTCAAGCGCCTTTATAGATTTAATGCCTTGACTTAGTGTGCTTCTAATTTCCCAATCTTCTTCATAAATACATTATTTTAGACATAAAAAACTTTAATTATGTAAATGTAGTGAGATTTTTAATGCTGTGAAAGTCAACATGAGTAACACTAAAGACTGCATTTGAAAGATACAAATTGAACTTAACCCGGTATACTCTGATGAGGTTCTCACAGTTTACTTTGGAACACATATTGTTTTCTTTGGTTAAAAAAACAAAGCATGAACCACAAAGATGCATACAGATTTGACATAAAATCAGAGTGAACAAAATCAAGGCTTTGGTGCACACTTAACTCTAAGCTTGAACTCAAGTTTCAAACTGATGGCAGGCAGCTTTTTGAAAAATCTCAATTGTAAATAACAGTGTAAGTGTTTTAAACATTGATGTTTGTAAAGAACTTCAAAACTTCAGATGAAATCTCTCCTGGCATTTTCAAGGGGTAGTAGGAGGAGAGAAATTCCAGTCAGCAAAGAAAAAAAATTCCAACTCAAGAACATGTAATGAAACTATTATCTCCAGAATGAAGAAAAATGTGCACAACACCCATATTTGTTAAGTTAAAAATTCCATTCTTGAAATTAACAATATTCTTTGGAACAACAGATACATTTTAGTAACTTCTCTGGATGAACAGTAAGAGTCTTGGTTAGAAGTTAAACTACTGTATCTTCAGCAAGTTAAACTAAATAACTGCAAAGAAATTAACTCCAACAAAAGCTGAAAGACAATATCTAATTTGAACTGATTTATCCAAACACCTTTGAAGAACACTAAAAGAGAAACATGGAAAGCGTAGAAACAGTAAATAAAATTCACAGAAGTAACTGTGAAGGGATCTCTTACATGCCCAACATGCAGCAACAAAGGAAGTCCCCAGGCAAGACATCTGGAGATCCTTTCCGACCTAAATTATAGCATATTTTTCCAGAAAAATTACAAAATATAACAGGAAAAGAAAACAGAACCCTACGTACTTAACTTTAATGTGGCCCCTTTCTATAATTCTAACTTTAATTAGTAAATGTAGACAGGAAATTTTAAATTTGAACACAGTCAATAAAGGACTGGCCAATTAGAATGATTTAAGTGAGAGATGTATTAGTTTTACTGACAGGGCAACAAGAAAAAGTGTGGCTTTCACCTACAATGAAAGCTGCACACATAACTGAGTACAATCAGACCTCCTGGGAGAACTGTGTTCCTGTAGCTACACAGCTATTCAAAACATATAAGACAAACAGATATGCATTCATATATATATATATATCTATATATGAACTTCAAAATGTAGAAACAGAATGTACTATTACATTTCATAGAAAAAGAAGTTAATTAGTCAAGAACCAAGAAATGAACAGAACAGTATTCCAGACAGATGGTCCAGCACTTCTTAGGCAGATGGCTCTGCTAATTAGATACTGGCAAAAATAACATTAAAGAAGATGGTTTAATTACACAATGCCAAAAACTAACAACTACATGATATTTCCTTTCTTTCTTTTTTCTTTTTTTTTTTTTTTTTTGCTTTTTTTCACTATCTGCTTGCTTTCATCTCTTGTATCATGTATTAAAACAATACTCTGGGGACGTGGGGGAAAATGGCAATAACCATAATAATATATGTCAACAAACGTGAGCAATATCGCCTTACTGTTCACATCAAGCCCAGCCATGGCTTCAGAATGTTTTGACTTGTTTGGCGAGGGTGTCTTACAGCCTGCCTAATCAGCTCTGCACGTTGGATTCCAAAAGCTGAATTTAAAGAGGCCATAAAGGAAGTGTCAGGATTGTAAACCCAAAGAAAGAATGTAGCCACGGAGCAGTACACCAGTA